TTCTGAGTTGTGCTTGCATATGTAACTATTATTATGGCATGGGATGTAACTTTTTTATGCTTTTGACATCATCAGAATGTCCTTCTCCTAAGAAGATGGGCATTGTCTTAATCTGTAAACTGAAACAATTTATTTCTTTTTCAGTTTGACATGGAGGAGTCTCTTTTAAGGCTTCCGCTTTCAGAATGTTGGGTGGTAAGAAAATAATACCATGCATGGTCTTTGCTTCCACTTTTTTTATTTCTATCCTTGAACCAAGTTAGCTAAATTCATCATATGTGATGATTCGTTCTTTGAATGCAACACGGAAAAGTTACTTGGATATTGTTTTTCATTTTTCAGGTCTCAAAACTGCATTTGCTTATCGATGCAGTCACTGAGAGTTATAACAAGTTTTTCTTTGGGGAAGTTGGAAGAGAAACGTATGATTTCTTTTGGGGTGATTTTGCTGACTGGTATGTTGAATGCATTTATGAGTGAGCAGCTGTCTTCAAACAGATCTACATTCTATTGTTTTATGCCATTAAGTTCTAGACTATACGTCATGTACAGGTCACTGAAACTAGTATGTGAACCCTGAGTTTAGATGTCAAAATGAATTAGTTCATGTTTTAGGTATATAGCACACAGTTAACTTTTTTCTTAGGTTAAAGTTGTAAAGTCATTTGGTGGATTGTGTGCATTATTTGTTTGTACCTTTACAAGAATTTAATTGTAAGTTGCTTTTTAGTGTATCAGTGTATGCTGACGCATACATGAAATACTTGCTGTGTTCTGGTATATTTCGGCAACAGTATCTAAAATATTTTTGACTTGGGTTAACTATAGTTATGTCCTGTGTGTTTAGCATGACCAGTTTTTAGATTCCCCATGCTTGGGGTTTAATGTTTTTCTCATTTTCATAGGTATATTGAAGCGAGTAAAGCTCGCCTTTACCACTCTGGAGATGATTCAGTTGCTTTAGTAGCACAGGCAGTTCTACTTTATGTTTTTGAGAATATACTGAAACTATTACATCCATTCATGCCATTTGTAACTGAGGAGCTGTGGCAGGTAGGGGTTTGTAGTGTTTGATTACGTTCTTGTTAATGTGCAAACTGATTCAGTTTTCTGTTTTCTCGAATGTGGTCATTCATGTTCATATTAAGTCTGGATAAAATCCTTTGGAATACACTTTACATTGACGAACAATTGTAGGTCATATGAACCTCGACCACATTCTTATGATAACGCATGCATTGCATTTTCATGAAGACAAGATTTGTGCTGGTTACGTCACATGAACAGATGATTGCACACATGCACTCATGTGGATAACTTTTGGTGTCCACAGTTTAGCATTCATGATTAGTGCCGCAAACAAGAAATGCCCTTTTTTTTTCTTAGTGTACTGTTTTAGGCATTCACTAAGATTTTTCATTTGAGGTTTTCTGCAGATGCATTTGAAACATGATGCAAGCTTCTGTGGATTTTCGTTTTTGTTTTATTTATTTACAGGCACTTCCCAATCGGAAAGAAGCTCTTATAATATCTACTTGGCCACATACTTCTCTTCCCAGGAACACTACTTTGGTAAAAAGATTTGAAAATTTACAAGCTCTGGTGAGTTAATGGATGTGTTCTTTTTCCCTCTACACCTCCCTGCATTCCACTATCACAGTCTTCTAGCCATAAGTACTAAGGTAAGGGAATCACTAACCTCTGCTAATTTATGTGTCAGACTCGAGCAATCCGGAATGCTAGAGCTGAGTATTCTGTTGAGCCAGCAAAGCGTATATCTGCTTCTATTGTTGCCAGTGAAGAAGTCATTCAGTATATAGCTGTAAGTCTAGTTAATTTCTTTACAGATTGTCTTATTAGTAAAAAAAATGGTATCTTCTTATTCATTATTCTTGCTTCATAATTCCATATATGTAATATCTTAAATTCTTTGTTCTTGATTGAGCATCCTTCAACCATTTGCATAATTTATACTTGGAAAGAGACTACGTCCGGCTGTTGTAGAGTTTGATGGCAAAGGAAATGCTCAGTGCATGATGCCAATGTCTTGTGTATCTGTACCCTTAGCACATGTTTGCAAATGTATGTTGATAGGTTTTATAATCTTGATGCAGGAAGAGAAGGAGGTTTTGGCTCTCTTATCCAGGCTAGATTTAGACAATATCCATTTCACTGATTCTCCTCCAGGTATGTTTACTTAGAACTATATATCCTTTGGTCCTAGGATGAAGCAATGTTATGCATGTTCATTTCACAAATAGTACTTCTTGTTTATCTATTGACTTCTCTTCGATATATGAAATGTTGGGCATCTAAATGCATTTATACTTACAGGGGATGCTAAACAATCAGTTCACCTTGTTGCAAGTGAAGGACTAGAGGCATATCTGCCCCTCGCTGATATGGTTGATATTGCTGCTGAAGTCCAACGCCTTTCCAAGCGCCTATCTAAGATGCAAACAGAGTATGAGGGACTTAAAGCTCGTCTCAAGTCCCCTAAAGTATGACCTTAATTTACTCGGTAGTTGTAGATGCATAACATTTCCCGCATTATTTTAGCACAAATGTTATGTAACGTTTGTAATAGATTAAATATGCATTTGGTTATTGGGCCAGTTACAAGTAAGACTTACAACAAATTGACCACCGTGCCTAAGCTTTGCAAACCTTGGTTAACACATGAATTAAACTGAGGATAAGAACAGCATAGGAAACTTGTAAATAAAACCAGTTTGTAGAAGTTGTTAACAGTTTCATGGAGAAGAATTCTAACTAGCTACACAAATATGTTTGCTATGGCATTTTGTTTATTACCTGTCAAAATTTTGTAGGGGTCACTTACCCAAAAAACTTGATAACATTGACTTGAGGTAGAAGCTCAAATCCCTTGAAATAGCTTTTCCAAATCAAATTAGGAGATTGTCAAATTTGAGAAAGTATATGTGCTAGCGCATTTGGAAAAGTTTGCCATGCTTTAATTTGGCCCTGTAGCTGTATCCTGAGAACCAGCTGTTGAAGTTGAACACATTCAAAATTGCTATGGATGTTGATAGTTTAGCAGCACAGCTCTTGATTGGATGTGTCAGCTGGTGACCTGTTTCTTCTCCAATGAGTGTCATGTTCTCTTTCTACACTTATTTATGCCTGCATTTTCATATAAGCTGCTTACAATGTGTTCTATGCAGTTCATAGAGAAAGCTCCTGCGGATATTGTCCTTGGGGTTCAGCAAAAAGCAGCAGAAGCAGAAGAGAAGATTAATTTGACCAAAAACCGTTTAGATTTCCTCAAATCAACTGTTTTGGTTTCACAGTAGTCTCCATCCCTGATTTGGTCCTTTCTTTGTCCCCAGAAGCTATACATTCTGCCGGATTGTTTGTCACTGTTTTTTGCCATAACAAGCTCCGCTTCTGCACATTCAGCCTTTTCAGGCTTAACAGATTTTGCATTTTGATCGGTAGATCGTCGTGAAAAGCATTATTCTGGAAGCTACATATCAACAATCTGACTGGTTGCACAATAGACGTGGTCAAAAGTTTGTGCACAAATCACACCGCTCACGTACGCAGATTAAAAGGTTGAAGCACTCCATGAATTGAGATGTGCATTTTTACTACTGCTAAGAGTCTTAGTTTTGCCTGCTGCCATGAGTTTTTGCCTCCTCGAATTATCATGTGGAAAAACTGCTTAATTCTACATTCAAACATTTCCTGGTGAATTACACTTGAATTCAACATTGGGCTCAATATATTTAGGGACATCATTTTGGCATTTGTCGAAAAATTATTTTTGGACATGAATAGAAGTCAGTAAAAATACTCTGTTGTGATAAACCACACATCAAAAGCAATAGATTTGACTTGTGGTTCCACTGATCTTCAAACAGACGAGAGATTGTAGTAAACTGAATTCATTCTTATAGTAAAAGTATGTTGAAAGTGATTCATGATTAACAGATAGGGTATGCAGTACAACATCATAATCCAGGTAATTTCCATATATCTAACAGTTAAAGGTGAAGCAAAAATGAAAAGTGCCAAACAATTTGAAAAAATTATTTGTTGCATAATTAAGAATATCCACAGCTTCCTCTCTCTCTTATGAAGTAAAACCTTGAACAATACGGGCAAGAGGGCTGTTTTTCTTTCCTGTTGAATGCAAAAAAGTATTCAAAATAAAACATGGCTTTTCTTCAATGTGTTTTATATTTAAATTAAATGTTTCTCTATTTTGTTTATTATTTATTAGATCAAATTTCTCCCTTTTGTTTTATTTAATTGCAGTTCTTTATATAATAATCGTCAAAACATAAGTAGTAAAAATAGAAGTGCTTTAAGTTTATTCTTTTTGTAAAAAAAAAATTTTAATAGTAATAATATTTTTTTCACCAAAAGAAAAAAAAAAGGTGTTAAAATATTAATGTTAGGGCATTTTGGCTGGCGGGTATAAATACCCATACTTGTCTCTTGTGTCTCTTCTCCTCTCACGCCAATCCAAACCCAAAAAGGTAAATTTTTTTAAAAGAAATTTTAAAAAAAATTTCATGGTTTTCTCTACCAGCTTTATAGTTCTCCAGTCTCTGCCTTTATTTTCATTTTCACTTGTATTCTTTTTCAATTTCTTATTGTAATCGTGATTATGGTTACCCTTTTATTTAATTACTTTTATCTTTTCTGGGCATTTATAAAACCCACAGTTGAATTAGTTTACTTTTGCATGACTGTTTGCTTTTCGCATTTAAGGATTTACTTTTGTATCAATCCATTTGTTTCATGTTGCATCTATTATGCTTTATTTTTATCAACTTTTTAAGAAATAAACAAGTAAATAATGTAAAAGTAAGTAGTAAAATTACCATTCAGCAGAGTCTAAATAATTAAACTTCGTTTGCAAATGGATGCATCTCTCTTCCTTATGGATTATAGGTGGATCATTTACTCATTATAGTGTTCATGTTGTACTTGGATTTGACCAACTTGTTTTGTATTAAGTAATGTTTTACTGGCTGATACCATATTGTATAACAAGTTTGTGCACTTGTTAGTTCATACTTATAAAATTATTTTTATATTTTCTGTAATACTTATAGTATATTTGATTTTTTTTTTTTACGTGTTAGAGATACAAAAACATTAATAATATCATTTTTATATTCAATGTATCGATTATCATGAATTTAATCATTTTCTATGCGATAGATGAATATATATATATATATATATATATATAGTTATACAAAAATCTTAACAAGTATCAATCAAATATTTATTGTTAATTAGAAAGATTTGCCATTTTACGAGGGCAAGTAACCCAGGTGAGAGTGCGTTTCATAAAAGATAGCAGGAGATCACAAGGAATGTGAAGGGACCAGTCCGGGTTGGGGACATTCTCACCCCTCTTGAGTCTGAGAGGGAAGCAAGGAGGCTGCGCTGATGCCTCATCTCTCTCTGATCATGTGTTTGGTTAGGCTTGATACACTTTCCTCTACTTCCTTACCGCTTTTGCGTCAATAATTTGTAGGTTGAGCACAATTTTAATCTTTTTCCAGCAATTGCAGACAGTATCATTGTGTAGACCAGTTGAGCGTTAACACTTTTTGCCAGATTATTACTTTTGTTGCTGTCCTCCTCTCTGATGTTGTTAGAATAGCTATGCAAATGCAACGGGGTCCTGTTTGTAATGATCTTGGTGCATAAGCGGGAGTGCTTGGTTAGGAAAATGGAATAGTTATCCTTATTCTCATTTTTAAGGTAAAGTTATATTTGGTTTAGTAAAATAGTTATTTTTCAAAATAGTCATTTCAAGAAAAACTTGAATAGTCATTACCCAAGTTTTTTTTGAAAATGGCTATTTCAAATTATTAAAAATAAGAAAAAAAGTTATTAGACAAATATATTCTTTTAGAATTTAAAAAATTATCTTATACAATAATATTAAGTTTATTGTTTTTCTCTCTCTTCCTCTATCTAAAGCACAAAAGATACAAAATATTTTACTTCTTTTTCAAAAAAAGGAAATTAAAATATTTAAATATTATTTAATATATTAATATTATTTAACTATAACAAATATTTTTAAATATTATTATTTGAATATAATAAATGTAATAAGGAATATTATTTAGTATTATTTAAATTTAATGAAGAATATATTTTGTCTTTTAATATTAAATTTTATTTAATTATAATAAAAAGTTTAATTATCTTTTAATATAAAATATTATTAAATTATAATAAAAATATGTTTGTATTTTGGTGAAAATATTATTTAATTATAGTCAAAGGTATTTTGATTTTATTACTTAGAATATATTTATCTTTTAATCAAATAAATTCTTTAATTTTAATAAAGAGTATTTTTTTCTCATCATAGTATTTTTGTTTTTTAATTAAAAAATCTTTAAATTTTAATAAAAGGTATTTTATCATTTACCTATTATTCCTTAACTATTCTTAAAATTATTCCTACCAAACAATAAAATAAGTAATAATAGCAATTTCTATCCTATCTTATTGTATTTTCATAAATCAGTCTATATAATAATATTTTTTTTTATTTTACTCTTTTAAAATGATCAGTTTATTCTCATTCTATTCCTTCTGATAAACCAAATATGTTATAAAGGCTAAAACAACGATAATTAATTAACCATCTGGTAAAGGTTCAACAACAGAGAACCTTGGGTGAATCAATCTCACTTGTTTTTCCTTTTTATTTATTTTTGGATAAAATACCCCTACTTCTTAAATTCTAATTAAAATTTTATTCGAAATTTTAAATAACTTCATTAATTTTCGAATCCAATTTTAAAAAATAATCTTTTATTAAAAACATAAATCTAATTATTAATCAATCGTTAATTTAAAAATTATTTTTATATTATTTTTATAAAATTACTACTATATAATTTTTATTTATTTAAAAAAAAAGTACTCTTCAAGGGAAATCGATGGTCGCTTTTTTGGAAGCTAGAGAGAATCAATCAATGCTGTTTATTCTTTTTAATTTTTTTGAAAAGAAATATAATAATGATTTTTTAAATTAATAAAAAAAATATTTTAATTTTTTATAATTTTTATTAATGATATTTATATTTATGAAATAAAATGTCTATTTTAAAAATTAATGAATCCTTTTAAAATTTTAATTAAAACTTAAAAATGTAGAGGTATTGTATTTTTTTTATTTTAGTTATTTAGAGAATTAGATAACATAAGATTAACTATGTCTTTTTGTTATATATAAAAACATAAATTGTTTCAATTTCGAAATTAGGGCATAATCATTCTTTTAACAAAAAAAAAGTATTATTTATAACATAATATAACTTTATATATGTAATAATTACCTAAAGAACTGACACTTTGTTTTATTTTAAATGCTGTATTACTAAAAAAAATTAAGGAAAGCAGAAAAACGAAAGATGTATGGAAAATATACCCAGACTTAAATCATCAAATTCACCAAACAACCGGTTAGGAGGCAGAAACCAAATCAAACCCACTTCACTTAATCCCTTTTCTCATTCCCTCTTTTATTCACACCCTGAAGCTTGACCCAGCGCCAGAGCCAGCACCAGCACCCCCACCCCCGCTCTAAATCTTAACCAAAAAAGGGAAAACTAGCCATGGACTCCACCCCGCTCCAGCCCCGACCCCAACCCCAACCCCAACCCCTTAAACCCTCTGCCTCCAAGCTCCCAATCAAACGCAAAGCCCCTTTTCCACAGCACCACCATCAATTCCTCACCCCAATTCCCCAACCCCTCGCCTTCTCTCCCCTTGATCACTCCCCGCCCTCTTCCTCCGCCCCCAAACCCAGACTCCCTCCCTTCAAATTCCACCGCATCTGGACCGAGCCTGACGAGATCAGCTTCCTCCAAGGCCTTCTCCAATCCCATGGCCTCTCTTTCCCCAAGGACCTCCCCATTTTTTACTCCAACTTCTCCAGCTCCATCTCCCAACCTTACTCTAGGTCCCAACTCTCCGAAAAGCTTAGACGTCTCCGGAAGAAGTTCCGCGTCATTTCTTCTAGGCTCGCTCGCGGGCTCAACCCATCTGCTCTCTCACCTCATGATCAAGCTTTGTTTGATCTTTCTAAACGGCTTTGGAGTCCTGAGTTTTCTTCCACCTCCCCTTTCGGTAAGAGCTCTTCCGGCTTTAATCTTGGGTTTTCACTAGATCATGAGAACAATGGCATTGGTGATGGGAATGATTTTGAGGATTGTGATCTGATTGAGAATGATGGGGAATTAAAGATGAATGAGGTTAATGTGAATTGTGATTTTGGTGGGGGTAGAGATGAGGTGGTCAATGATGGGCAAATTGATGGGATCGTGGCAAAAAGCGTGCTGGATGTGTTTGATGAGTGTTTTAAAGAGGTTGGGATGGTTTTCGGAAAGCAAGGTTTGGTTTGGTTGGATACAATGGAGAGGAGGTGGAAGGAGCAAAGGATTTCAGAGTTGGACGTGTTGGGGAGGCGGTTGAGGCTGGTTATCGAGAATTCTCTGACTAGGCGATGAGTATTTCTTTCAAAAAAAAAAATGGAGAAACGTTGCACATCCGTTGATATAAAAGTTTGTATATTCCAGCCCAATGTATATAAATTTTCAGGTTGGTTTACATTCCAATGCGTTTTCATACGGGAGTCCTAAGTAAATAAAATTTTTATTTTTACATTGTGTACTTGTGAATGATAGATTTTAGAATTTTGAATGCTTGAAATGTTAATGAATTGTATGTGAGTGCATGAGTGCGACTGGCTTCTTGTAAATTCAATATTTACTATTATGTGATTACAACTGGCTTCTTGTGAATGACTTATTAAGTGGTATGAAGAGATTGTTTGGTAGCAATATCTAAAAGTTTCATTTAATCCATTGTAATTTCAATGTTTTGATGTGGAGCCTTTTGTACATTAGATTTACTAGCAATGCTATTAATAGTGTCTACCCCAAGTAAACTTTTCTTGGTCTTGCTCACCTAAATTTGTTGCTAGGAAGCTTATGATCCAAATCCCATCCCTCAAGTAAAATCGCTAATAATGATGAAAAGCTTGTACTTTAGCTTTACCAAAATTGAAAATAAGCTGAACCTTCTGTAAAATCCAGTACTTTTTGAAAGTGTTTAAGATCTCAATGACATGAAGTGTAGAGTGTGAAATGCTTGAAGAACACTTTGTTGGTTGTACAGAATTTGCACTTATACTTCTTGGATATCTTACCTTGTAATCTTGGTAGTCTTACACCTTGATCACATTGCAAATTTTTGCCTTACTGAAATGTCATGGTAGAAATAAACTAATATGATGTTCATTCTCGAAGCTTGCTTCATTAGAATTTTAATAAACAAGCAAAGAGAGGAGGGTGATTGGTCTAAATTAAAAACTGATGCAGATAAATGGAGGGACAGAGGGTGAAAGTAGAGAATATAGAGGAAAGTGATATAATATGTGTGTGTGTGTGTGTGTGTATGTATCTTAAAAATCAATTTAGGGAAGAAATATATATAGGAATTTAGGGAAGAAATAACACTCAAGTTTTAAACATCAATTCATAATATCTTAATAATTCAAAGTTGCTAGAAACTAAAGACAACTTAAGTACATATAGACTAGTTTATCAATCCTAGTACTTGATAAATAAGAAAAAAGACAAATTGATATTAATATAACTTAAATACAATAATACAAGCAATTATAGACTAGTTTATCAATCCTAGTACTTGATAAATAAGGAAAAAGATAAATTGATATTAATATAACTTAAATACAATAATACAAGCAATTATAGACTAGTTTATCAATCCTAGTACTTGATAAATAAGAAAAAAGACAAATTGACATTGATATAACTTAAATACAATAATACAAGCAATAAAATACTATCTTACTCAGTTGATCCTTCAATTAATTTCTTTTCGTCCCTTATCATTCTTCTTTTGTTGAAGAAAACTCAGCTTTGAGCTTACAGTATTGAAGTGGAAGAGACTTTTAATTAAACCGTTGTTGAGTAACATTTTCAATGGCATATTTCATTTGTAACTGTAACAAAATCAATTGACCTTTCTTTACTTCATCCTTTATCACATTTAACAAAATCTAATAATGGAGTTTGAACAGGCATGCAGCCCCTAAATTCTTTGATTGCTTTTGCTATGAACTTGAATTTGAAACAACTTCAACTTCCTGAGCTGGAAAACCTAGGTTTTGAATGTCCAACTCTTTCGACAAATCATCCATCTTGCACTAGCGCATCAGTCATTATCTCTAGCTTCTTCTCTTTTGGGTTTTGAGTTTTAAAAACAGTGTCCTTCTCCCCCATAAGTATTTGCTCTAACTTAAGTGATTAAGGATATCTCCACTACTTTAACCTTGCAATTGATACTCTTCTTTCCTTCCTCAACTTTCTGACCTTCTAAAATTATAACATCAAATTCCATTGGAATTGTCACACATGTTGGAGGAACACCATTGAGATCAAGAGGTTGGAAAGTAAGTTGAAGATTTCTTGCATTTTTCTTCTGAGTGATGATAGATATACTTATTTGCTGACATATTGCATTAGCTCTTAACTCTGTGAAGATAAATAGAAAGAAAAAACAGTCCCTTGTAATCCATGTATTGTGAAGATGCCTTTTTAACTTGTTTCCACAACTCTTTATCTCTAAATACTTAGTTTGAACTTCGAACTTGAGCTTACTTATTACTGACTCGATGAAGTGGATCCTGAGAAGTGTTCATGTCTTGCTGAATTAACTGCTAGCAGCTTATGTCACTTTAAATCATATTGAAGGGAAAGATTGTTTTCTTTCTTACACTCTAGTCTAATGAAACTGGTGCTATGAGAGGTGAATAGAGGTCAAGAGATAGAAATATAATTAGAGAAGGTTGGTGAAGTTGACTAAGCTGAGGATTGCAAACTAGCAACCTCTTTGAATCTGTTGATAAGCCTGTGGTTTCGCTCTATACCTTTGCCTAACTTGGTTCATTTAAGACTTTCGTGTCTTACATCCCAGGCAAACCCCTTGCTTTATTAATTGCTTTTCCTACATTGGTGCATTTAGAGATTTCTTGGTATATTTATGATTGTGCAGTTAATATCTAGCATTTTCTATAGAACTCTCTATTTTTCTGGGGTTTTTCTAACTGAGCAAGAAAAGTTAAAAACTCTTTGTGTTTGAAAGTGCTCCTCATGCTTCGTTGTCAACAAGGAATCAGATTAACAGTAAGAAAGAGCAGTTTTAAAATACAGTGTAGCTAGAGGCCTTTTCATCCACCTCCCGTCATGTTAATTTTTCAGTTATGACAAAATCAGTACAGTAAACTATCACAACTCTCAGCAGATTCAATTCATCTATGATTAATTGTATAGTTATGCAATCACAATTCATGATTTGGGTTGAATAATTGAAGAATGAAGTCTATATGAAGACTCTCAAACCCATTAATGATGGGAGTACCAAAATTCTGTTCGTTCTCATCTCTATCTGTAGAATATTCAAATCCAATCCAGACTCCACAAACAAAGTACAATTCAAATCCTCCGAATCATATGTTAGCTTTGATACCATATCTATTATTTATAATTGTAACGTGGTAGTGTACAAATTAATATATAAAAAAGTTTGTATAAAATGACAATCTGAAACAACTTTTATGATTGAGGAGTTAATATATGACTCTTAAGGATTTGAATTATCTTTTGTTTGTGGAGACATCTCCCATGCACTATCTCTAATAAATACTGCAAAGGGGGTATGGTGCCCATCTTCTGCTTTTTGACTTTTATGATTGTGACCACCAATCGTTGACTATATATATACAGTGTGGTGTGGGATCCAAGAGACTTTGATTTGTACAACAAACGGATGCATGTCATTTCAGATGTTTGTTCAGCCAAGCAATGTGGTTTGTTTCTAAGCAAGTCATGGGCGACTCTATTTCCCTGCCTCTCCTCACTATCATTGCCAGTAGGTTTGGCAGGAATGAACAGAAATAGTGGCAACGGAATTAAGCGACACAGAGGAAAAAGGGAGTGCAAATTCGGTCCTTTTCTGTCTCCCTCTCCTATTTCCCTCCTACCAAATAAAGAAATATTATTTTCCTTTAACCCCATTTCTTTTCTTTCTCTTTCCCTCCTACCAAACATAATATTTATGAGTTGAAAGTTTGGACAGCGCATCATATTCTTCGTTTCATCTATCCCAAACTGTGAGATAGAAACGCTACTGTTATTGTGTAATGAAAAAGTCTTAAATTGAATCTCCTCAAATGGTATTCTGCATTTGACAAAGATCCAGCATGTATCTTTCAAAAACTAAATGAGACCAAAATTGGAATATAGTTATTCCAATTAATGTACTTGTTATTAAAAAAAGATAGTCTTTATAGTCATCTTTCTTAATTCTATTATTATTACCAACAACAATTGAAACCTTTATTTGTAGTAACAACAATGAAACTCAACAGTGTCTCCTCTTCCTTAACAACAATCTATAACTTTATACTCAAAAGAAAATTGATTTATTCATTAATTAAATTAAATAGTACAAAGCAATTTTTATTTCATTAAATTAACTGAAGCTCGGTTTTTTGTTTTATTAGCTGGGTTAACAGAGGCACAAAGCTCCAATAAATGTAGAGGAGATTGGAATAAAAGTCAGTTCCCAAAGGCAATAAACTTGATTCATTAAGAATTCATATTAAGATAAAGATTAAAAAGTTGGAATAAAACAAGCAAAGAGTTACCACCCCCAAAACAAGCACAAAAGGTTAACATAGCCTCGTTCAAACAATCAGAGGATCTAACCATACAAAACATCAAAATTGAGACCCCTGTACAGCATGCACAAACGTTAATCAATAAACCCAAAAGACAGGTACATCTCGGCCACCCATTCGTCCTGTTTTCTGGTGCAGCCTTCAAAAACACCGTTGCACCCATAGAAAACCTGCACATAAAAAACATAGCAGCCACCGCCACAATCCGTACAATCACACGTGACAAAGCCCTGAATTAAATGGACCCCAACCTCTGCGGTCCTTCATCGTCATCATCATTTAAAACCCATATTGGTTCATCCCTCCTTTTCACACCAGTTTTGGTCAGCTTATCAGCAAATTTATATGCAGCTCTTGAAATTTTCCTGAAGCTCCAACCCCCTCAACTTAGATTTAAACACTTCCATTTGCATCATAATAGTTCTCACTTTCCATGGAGCTGCTGATGGCTCCTCTGCCTACTTCACCCATTATCTGAATCACCCTAAAAAACAAAATTGTATCAATTAGCCCATTTCAATGCTGCCACAATCTGTAGGGTCTTTCTAACAGCCATAATCTCGGGCTCTCGGCCATCTTACCATCCATAACAGGGACCAACAAGGAGAATTGAATTAAAATTTTGTCAGTCTCATCCCTTAGCACTCCCCCAATCCGGGTCTTTCTCGAGTTACCTCTCGAAGCCCCATTCACATTAAACTTAATAAAACCACAATGAGGGGTTGCCAAGCCTCAGCATTTTTTGCTGTTTTGATTTTTGCAAGGACAACAGCAATATTCTACACTATCTCTAAGTCCATAATAGAGATATTAAGTTTTAAGTCATTTTGAGTTTACCCACTATATCACTTGAAGTTTCACACTATCATAAATTTATTCCCCCAATCTAAGACTTTGCTGG